TTTTTTTATTATGTAACAGTGTTCTGTCTGCATGAACACCTGTAGGGCAGCAGAGGACACCAGATCTCATTATAGATGGCTGTGAGCCACCATGTGGTTGCTGGGAATTTTACTCAGGACCTTTGGAAGAGCCAACAGTGCTCTTAACCTTTGAGCCATCTCTCCAGCCCTTAACAGGACTTTCTTGGACAGCCAGCTCCCAATAATGACACAGAGATCTTTTTACTTTTGAGATCTTTTATTATTTATTAAAGCTTGGCCTTTATTTATTAAAGGCTTGTTCCCCAGCTAGCTCTTAGCTTTAATTAGCCCCTTATTCTTCTGCCACGTGGCTTATTACCTTGCCTCAATATCTTAATTCTGGCATCCTGTTTCTTCAGGAGGGTAAATCTTTTCTGCCTCAGATTTCTTCCCAAAGTTCCTCTTTATGCCCAGATGTCCCGCCTGTTCTCTCCTGCCTCAGCTGTTGCCCATTCAGCTCTTTATTAAACCAATCAGAAGGTGTTGGAGGGAGTGTTTATAAAATATGATGCAGCCAAAGAATATCAGTACCAAAGTCTGGCTTGTACTCGGCTCTCTGCTGGTACAGAGGTCAGCATTCGAGTAATTCAAAGACAATCTTTACACAGTGCACAAAAGAGCATCTCAAAAGTGCTCAGTGTAGCACTTACCTGCATGTGAGGGGCCTAGATTCGGTCCTCAACACCAGGAAACAAAATCCCTCACTACTTATAATGGATAGAGCTTAATGTCCTTGGAATAGCCCCTTGTTCTAAAGTCTTAACTGATTCAAAAAGAAACATGATCTTTCTGATTTGGCTAAATATTGCTAACATGAACATTACTTTTTATCCACTTCCCTTAGTATTACAAATCATTTATTTATCTGTTTATTTGTAAAATTTATTTATTATACAGTGTTTTGCCTGCATGTGTGCCTACAGGCCAGAAGAGAGCACCATTTCTCATTATAGTTGTGAGCCACCATGTGGCTCAGGACCTTTGGAAGAGCAGCCAGTGTTCTTAACCACTGAGCCATCTCTCCAGCCCTTGTTTTGTTATTATTTTTTTTTTTTTTTGAGACAAGGTTTCTCTGTGTAGCCTTGGCTGTCTTGGACTCACTTTGTAGAGCAGGCTGGCCTCAAATTCACAGTGATCCTCCTGCCTCTGCCTCCTGAGTGTTAATATTAAAGATGTACACTACCATGCTCTTTATTTTTAATAATAATAATAATAATAATAATAATAATAATTATTATTATTATTATTATTATTATTATTATTATTATAATACAGTGTTCTGCCTGCATGTGTGCCTATACACCAGAAGAGGGCACCAAATCTTACTATAGATGGTTGTGAGCCACCATGTGGTTGCTGGGAATTGAACTCAGGACCTTTGGAAGAGCAGCTAGTGCTCTTAACCCCTGATTCAATCTCTCCAGCCCATTTTTAAATGTCTTAAACATAAGATAGAAGCTATATAATTATGATTTCCTTGCTTTAGTTTCATTACTAATCTGGTAAATTACTGGTGATAAAAATAAAAATTTAGGCCAGGCATGGTGGTATATGGCTGGAATCCTAACACTTAGGAGCTGGAGTGGATTAGTTAGGGTTTTATTGCTGTGAAGATCCGTCATATCCACAGCAACTCTTACAAAGAAAAACATTTAACTGAGGCTGGCTTATAGTTCAGAGGTTTAGTCCATTATCTTCATGGCAGGACACATGGCACTGTGCAGGCAGACATGGTGCTGGAGAGGTGGCTGAGAATTCTACATTTGGATAGGCAGGCAACATGAAAAGAGAGTGACAGTGGGCCTGGCTTGAGCACCGGAAACTTCAAAGTCCTCCTCCAGTTGCACTCTTTTTCTAACAAGGTTGTGTGCCACTCCCCATGGGCCTATGGGAGCCATTTTCATTCAAACCACTACACAAAGTTAGGTAAATTGTTACATGATGGAAACCAGCCTGGGTTACATAACAAATTTCAGGCCAGCCAAGGCTTTTTTAATAAGATCTTATCCCAAAAAATTAGAGAGAGAATGAAAGAGAATTTTTAGAAATATTTATTTATTTTATTGTTATATTTATAAGCAGAAAAGAGCATTGGATCCTGTTGAACTGGAACACTGTGGTTGTGAGCCACAGTGTGGGTGCTAGGATGAAACACGGGTCCTCTGCAAAAACAACCAATGCTCTAAACCCCAGAGCCATCTATCTGTCTGGCTCCCGAGAGAATTTTTTCAGAATCTTTTTGGCTATGTGATAGTTTCATCCTTTTAGACAATGTGTCTTGATCTTGTACACGCTGACTCCTTGGCCCACGTCCCTGGGCCCTCCTCAGCATGTTTCCCTTTCACCTTTATGTCCTTGTTATTTTTTCTTTCCTAGCTCACCGAGCCCAGTTAGTCTGCCCATGTGGATGTGGGTGTGGGCCAGAGAGAAATCACAATTAGAGAGAAATACTATGTTCTTGGCTTTAAATACCAAGTATATTTAAATTTGTTTGTTTGTTTGTTTTTGAGACAGACTTTTTCTATCCCTGGCTGTCCTGGAACTCAATGTGTAGACCAGGCTATCCTTAAACTCAGAAATCGACCTGCCTGTGTTTCCTCAATGCTGGAATGAAATGGTTTGCCATTACGCCCAACTTATTTAATTTTAATATATTCTACTATAAGAAAGTTTCATGAAAATAATATAATTCTTAGCCAGACATGGTGGCTCACGCCTATAATCCCAGCACTCAGGGAGGCAGAGGCAGGCAGATCTCTGAGAGTTCGAAGCTAGCCTGGTTTACAAAGCAAGTCTAGGACAGCCAAGGCTACACAGAGAAACTTTGTCTCAAAAAACTAACACACACACACACACACACTTCTATAATTTTAAACATTATTGGAAAAAAAAACAAAAATGGGTGCAGTGGTGCTGGTGCACACCTTTAATCCAGCCCTCGGGAGGCAGAGGCAGGTGGATCTCTGTGAGTTGAAGGCCAGCCTGGTCTACAAAGTGAGATCCAGGATGGCCAGGGACACACAGAGAAACTCTGTCTTAAACAAAAACCAAAAAAACCCACCAGAAATGAAGTCCTGAGGCCACACAGAGCAGCACAAGGGGATTTGTCTTTCAAGGGCCAAGGGACATGCCAGAGGATCATTGACAGTCACTGCCAAACACAAGTCCTTAGATATAATCTCCTAAAACGTGGTGGGCTTTGTGTCGTGGAATCTAGAAAGTGCTGATAAAAGGACTCAGTGAAAACTGAGACAAGAGCTCATACCACCTCTATGGATCAAATTCTCAGCATAGTGAGGAACCTAAGTTCCCAAACTGATGGACAGGTCCAGTGGGGTCAACATTTTAACTGGATTCTCTAGGTTTAGAGAGAAAGAGTCTAGTTTATATGAGAATATAAAGGGAGTGAAATAGCCAAAGCAGTTTTGAAAAAGTCTCAAAGCCAGGTGTAATAGCATACGCCTCCTGTCTTGGTATTTAGGAGGCAGAGGCAGGTACATTTCTGTGGATTAGAGGCCAGTCCAGTCTATGTAGTGATTTCCAGGACAACCAGGGCTACATAATGAGACCCTATCAAGGAAAAAAAGTCTAAAATTGCCAAGCTCACACCAAGGCCTTGCAGGGATTCTGTATTGCTGTGGTAGTCAGTAGTGTGTCAGCAGGGAGGATGAGAACTGAGCAGAGTCCAGCTGCCAACCTCAAGTTTCCAACATGTGGTATTGAACCATTGGATGTTCCTAGGCAAGGAATGAACTTTGACCCAAACTACACTGTGGATAAAAGTGAATTGAAATTGTAGCAAAGATCTAAACATGAGAGGGAAAGCTGTGACATCTTAGAAGGAAACACATGGGGCTCTCTTTGTGACCCAGGGTTAGACCCCGGGTTTTCAAATCATGCAACCAAAGTCACAGTCTTTAAATACCGCTTAGCAGGCTGGACTCTGTCAGATTTTAAGCTTTGGCTTATACTAAGGCAGAGTCCTTAACCTGTGGGTCACAATCCTCTTGTGGGTGGAACCACTGACCCTTTCACAGAGGTCACATATCAGATATCTCACATATTGGATATTTACGACTCATAATAGTAGCAAAATTACAGTAATGAAGCAGCAGTGGAATAATTTCATGGTTGGTCACCACAGCATGAGGAAGTGTATTAAAGGGTCACAGCGTCAGGAAGATTGAGAACCATTGTGCTAGGCGGTGCACTAGATGTGAGGTGCTCCATTAGTCTGTCCCTAAAGAAGTAAATGGTGAAAACTATGGAAGACAACTCTTTGATGTCTCTGGAGACTGTCCCCAGGGACCCCACAGGTCACTAAACACCTAAAAAGTGTACCAGGTCCAAAGGAAAAAGGTGAGGCCAGGTATACTTCTCCAGCTCGGGTTGAAAGAGGCTCCATTCCAGGTTGGTCCTCCTCTCTCAGCTTCCCCATAGTGGGAGGTTGGCTCACCTAACAGCTATGGGTTACAGTGACTTCCCACATGCTATGTTAAGACCCCTTACCCCTCTGTATCAGGCTGCCTGAGCCTATTGCTTGGTACCTTTAGCTAGGAATGTTCCTAGAGCTAGTTTCCAACCTGTGACGGTCCCGCCTTAATTCCTGTTGACACTGCAGGGCTGCTATGACTCCTCTAATGAACTGACTTTGTGTTAGAGACTGTAGTGATGTCCAAAGCCAAGAATATTCTGGGAATAGTGGGAAGATGCCAGAGCAAGATGCTACCTTGCATCAGTTAGAAAGAATTAAGAAAAGCAGCAGATTCCAGTGGTTTGCCCTTGAAGAGCCATAGATTAACTTGCTAAGACAATGGCAATTTACCTGCCAGAAAGCTGTCAGGAACTCTGGAGCCCTACCAAATACCTCTACCAATAGGCACGTGCTTAGTGGAGCAGCCAAGGACAGAGCCAGCTTTTACTGCAAGCCTACTTGCACTGCACACCCAGGCCATTGCTCCCTGCAGCAGGTGTGGGCTCCAACAAACAGGAGAGCAAAAACCAGGGATAGTGGGTGTCAATGCCCGCTCCTGCCACTGTGTGTCGCCTGTAAATTCTGATTCTCACCTAAGACATGGAGATGAGCAAGAGGTATAAAGCACAGAGCACAACAGCGAACAACGGGAGAGATGCAGGTGCAGATGCCAAGAACCATGTGAAGAAGGGAAGGGCTGGGGATATAACTCAGTTGGAAGAATGTTTGCCTGGCACGGACAAAGCCACTGGGTTCAATCCCTTGCACATAAATTACACACATGTACGATCTCAGTGCACACCAGTTGTGCTGTATATTTTTTGTTAACAAATCTTAGAAGAGGGAATCTCAACTGAGGAATTACTTCTACCAGACTGTGTTGTGGGCATGTTTGTAGGGAATTTTCTTGCTTATTTTCAGGACAGGGTCTTATGTAGATGAGGCTAGTCTTGATCTCAGGGAGGCTGTCTCTGCCTCCCAAGTGCTGGGATTAAAGTGTGTGCCACTATGCCTGGTCTCTGAGCTTTTTATTTTTGAGGTAGGGTCTCTCACTGTAACCCAGGCTGGACTTGAATTCATGGCAGTCATCCTGTCCCTGCCTGTTGGTTGTTGAGATTATAGGACTGCACCATGCCAACTTTCCAGAGCTTCTTCCTTGCATCTACAGACGGCTCTGGGTGTCTCTTCTCACTGCTCATGACTTTCATTTCAGGCTGTGGTTTTCCTTGTTCTCCTTTACTTGGTCCCGCTTCCTTTCTTCTAAGAATTTAAAGCTCCAGATGTCAAGATGTGTTCTTTCCTGGCAGCTGTGCTGCTCATATATTTCTTCTGAAAATGTCTGCCATTTTGAGGGCTCCTGTGGGCTTCTGTTCTCTGAAATACTAATAGACTCACTAATTTGATAAGGAGTGGGAAGCAGCCACTGTCCTTCAAATGTTGCCCTTTTTCAGCTTTACTTTTCTCTCCCCAGAGTGGCCCTGTCAGGCTCTTTGTCCCTTACAAAAGGCGCAAGAAAGAAAACGAGCTGCCCACAACTCCAGTTAAGAAGGATTCTCCCAAGAACATCACGCTGCTTCCTGCCACAGCAGCCACCACCTGTGAGTGCTAGCTGAGGAGCAGTGCTTTGCTGATTGGTCCTGTCTCTCTACCTTAGCCCAACTGAGGGATTCTCATTTTGACAAAATGTGATGATGAAAGTCTTTTCCTAACTGGGTTCTGTGGCCCGCATGTTTATTCCCAGAACTCAGGGAGGCAGAGGGAGGTGGATCTCTGTGAGTTTGAGGCCAGCCTGGTCTACAAAGTGAGTCAAGGACAGCCGGGGCTACTCAGAGAAACCCTGTTTTGGGGTAGAGGGGAAGAAAAGAAAAAAAGAAAGAAAGAAGGAAAGGAAGAAAGAAAAAAAAATTATCCTTTGATTCAAGCTGCAAAGTACTTTTAAAGTTCATTTACATTTTATTTTCTGGCTGGAGTGCACAGTTCTCTGGCCCCATAGTCAAAGTCGGTGGTGTGGATAGAGGCCTGAGTCCTGCCCTGTCTGGCTCTTTCTGCTGGGGGCCAAGTTCATAGGCTTCCTGGTGTCATGCCATGTGTCGGGTATATCCAGTTTGGCCCAACTCCTAGGATCTCTCAGAAGTCTGCAACTTTGCAAAGAACAATGCATTCTTCAGGCCCAGTGCCTGGTCATGAAAAAAAAAATGCCCTTTTGCCTTTCCAGTCACTGTGACACCCTCAGGACAGATCACTACCTCTGGAGCACTAACCTTTGACCGAGCATCCACTGTAGAGGCCACTGCTGTCATCTCTGAGAGCCCAGCCCAAGGTGATGTCTTTGCAGGAGCCACAGGTAAGTTGTCTCACTATCTGTCTGATACATTCCCAGTGCCTATGGCAGTCTCTTTTGCATGGCTTCTCAGCAGGGGCCTTGAGTGGCACTATATTTTGATAGGAACCTGATGGGTATTGCAGAAACAGCACTGTGACCAACGCACAGAGCTGGAGATAGGTAGCATTTGCTGATGTTGCTTTAGGCTGACACCAGGCACTAGGAACAATCCCAGGCATGAGTAATCTCAAATATTGTAAGAGTTATGTTAGCAAAGCACGTGATACCGTCTTTTGTAATGTTATTTCATCAATGACCCAAATCCCATTGTTTCAACTCAAAGCCTACACTAAGGTCACTCAGTGGCACCCCAGGGCCGGTATTTTTGGCTTGAGTGTGCAGCTGTAGGCACTTGGAATTAAATCTGCTTTGCTGAGGCTGTCTCTCTCTCTCTCACAGTGCAAGAGGCAGGTGTGCAGCCCCCCTGCAGGGTTGGCCACCCTGAACCCCATTACCCTGGCTACCAGGACAGCTGCCAGATTGCCCCGTTTCCAGAAGCTGCATTGCCAACATCACATCCCAAAATTGGTGAGTATCAAAGATTTTATGTGCGTGTAAGCTGTTGTCCTCAGAATTGTGGTTTTGCTTGATTTTTATTCTTTGCAGTGCTGGGGATGGAAGCCAGGGTGTCTTACATGTTAGGTGAGTTTCTACCTCTGACCCATGCCCCAGCCTCAGAATTGCTTCTTGTTAGTGAAATAGGGCTTGTGCTGATGTTTTTTGTTTTTTTTTTTTTTGTTTTTGTTTTTTGTTTTTTTGTTTTGTTTTGTTTTTTGTTTTTTTTCTCTTGAAGTGCTGGGTTAGGGCTGGCAAGGTCCAGCCTTCTGCCTGTATCTGTAAATAAAGTTTTATTAGACACAACCATGCTGTTCAGTCATTTAAGTCTTCTTTTGTTTGTCTCAGGCTGCTTTCATAGAGACTGAAATGAGCTAATGTTGGTATTGTCAGGTCTACCCCAGCAGAAATGTGTGTAGGCTATCTCCTTGCCTTCACAAACCATGGAATTAGATCAAGCTGTGTCTGATGTGAGGGACTGTGCCAATGTTTGTGTCCTGGTAGCTGAGAGCTGAGCAGATTCTCTCTGGGCACCTTGACTTTGGGTTTTCACTTAGCACATTTTGGGCAAATTTTTGTGTCAGTGTACTTTTTGGGTTTTTTCGAGACAGGGTTTCTTTTGTAGCCCTGGCTGTCCTGGAACCTTCTATGTAGACCAGGCTGGCCTCAAACTCGCAGAGATCCACCTGCCTCTGCCTCCCAATTGCCTGGGAGTAAAGGCTTGCGCCATCACACCCAGCATCAATATACTTTTTAAAGGTGTATATTACAGATAAAACATTACCTGAACCTTCCCCTGCTGATGGACATTTGTTTTATATACTTGTCCTGTTCTTTAGCGTTAAGAAACTTGTCTATAAGAGCTAAAATTTTAAATAAAATAAAATCCCTTCTCGTCACTTGTATTATCTTCTTTTTTATCTCTCTGAACTCTTCCAACCTGAAGGCTCATGCAGACTCCACTTCTTCCAACCAGCTTCAGGCTCCTTCCCTTGTCTCTGCTTTGGGCTGGCCTCCGTCCTTCCTTGGACTGTATTCTTTACTGTTCATCTTATACTCAGCTTGCAGGAGATGACAGCTATTTTAATAACTTTTTGTTTTGTTTTGTTTTGTTTGTTTTTTGTTTTTCAAGACAGGTTTTTTCTGTGTAACCTTGACTGTCCTGGACTCTCTTTGTAGACCAAGCTGGTCCAGAACTCAGATCTGCTTGCCTCTTCCTCCTTGAGTGCTGGGATTACAGGCATATGCCACTACATAATTTTCTTTTTTTTTTAAGTTGGACATATACAATATAAAAAAACTATTCAGGAGTATTGCAGATATCACCTAACATGCTTCAGTGTTTTGTTTTGTTTCCTACAAGAAAAAAGATGTTAGGAAACTCAGTAATTAAGTGAGCGTTTACTAGTCACTGTGAGCCAGTGACTGATGGTCCGTAGTGGCAGAGTGAGCCAGCGCTTGCCTCCTGAACTCTGTCCCCTTGATACTTGGTCTTTCCCTGCCCCCTTGGGGGTTACGAGCAGCGGTTGTGTAGCATGCCACTTACCCTGGCGCTGTGACGCTGGCTCCTGTGGTGTGGCTTGTTCAGTCTTCCTCAGTGATGGTGCAGACCTGCGATAGAGGCTGCTTGGGATCCTGTGTCCTCTGAGCCCTGTCTCAGGGTAACCCTGACACTTGAGGGAAGGTTGGGAGGTCTCATGGGAGGTTCCTAAGGCCACAGAGGTCTATAGTACCTCATCACACTTTCCCCTAGGTTGTACTTAGAGCTTCCTATTTTAGTCAGTGGGTCATAGTGATTGATTTTCTGATTTCTGTTCATACTCCCAGACTTGGAGCCCTGTAAGAGACAGCAGGAGCCCCATAGGTGGTCTCTGTGTGACCTGGCCCTTGCTGCAAGAACCTTATTTCTGCCTTAACCAGACACTTGAGCTTCAAGTTTTCTTTTTCACTTCTTTCTCTCTTTCTGTGTGTGTGTGTGTGTGTGTGTGTGTGTGTGTGTTCCTTTTTGTTGTTTTGAGATGTGGTATCACCGTATAGTTCTGGCTGGCGTGGTCTAGAACTAGCAATGGAGGCTGACTTCAAATTCACAGAGATCCACCTGCCTCTGTCTTCTGAATGCTGGCGTTAAAGGCATGCTCCATCATACCAGCTTGTGTGTGTGTTAGTGTGGAATTATGATGCCCTGGTTCACTAGCATGTGCGTGTGGAGGTCAGAGACGGCCCGTGGGTATCAGTCTTCATCTTCACCTTGTCTGACACAGGCCTCTTGTCTCCCCACGGCCTATACCAGGCGAGCTGGTACTCAGAGTCAGAGGCCTGCTGGGATTGCAGGTGTGCACTATCACATCTAGCTTTTTCATGAGCTCCTGGAGTTTGAACTCAGGTTTTTGTGCTGGAGCTACAAGTGCTTTACTCATTGGGCTATCTTAGCAGCCCTCATCCCAAGCTTTGCATTCCCCACGCCTTTCAGAAGCCAGTGGTGTATGTGGCGTATGTCAGAGAAGCCTGGACTGTTGAGTGTTGGCTTTTGTAACGACTGGGTGCCTTATCCACTTCAAAGTGGGAAGGGGCTTTGTGCAGGAGGAACCGCATCCCTCAGAAGCCCTGTCATGTTGGGTATTCATGCCTGTTGGGTGTGTCTATTCCCAGTCTTCCCAATAGACTAAGGTAGAGAGCGATTTGCGCACACACACACACATGCGCACGCACATACGCACGCACGAATGCACATATGTGCACACACTTGACTCTACCATAGACCCACCTACAGCGGGAGTTCACAGTGTCTAGGGAATCTGAAATCACAGTGTGTTCTGGTTCCCTCTGTCCGTCTTGGGGGTATCACTACTCCCACTGCCCTTAGTAACTTATAAGCTACTAAGTGTCCTTATGGACTGCAGACCCCAGAAAAACTTTCCAGATAAGCCTTAGTTTTCCTGTGTACAGTGCTGGCTGAGTCTTTCCTTGCCCTGCCCTCAGTGTGCTTGTTCTGTGGCTGTTTCCTTCCATGTTTCATGACTACTCCTTCTCTGGGTGAGTGTCTTGCTTGCTTGCCATTTCTCTCGTCTTCTGTGAGCTTCGGTCTAGTCTTATGAAGGAAGTGATCAGCCCCTTGGGGAAGGCTTTTGGTTGATGTCATTAGGCATACAGGAATGAACAAAGAGCAGGGGACAGAACTTTTTCATCTCCAGTGCTTCTCACCACTTGCCCAGCTTCACCTGAGGCTGAATGAAGCTTGGAAGTCACTAACCTCTTGTTTATCCCACATTCTACATTCCAGTCCTGACATCCCTGCCCGCCCTGGCCGTGCCGCCCTCCACCCCCACCAAAGCTGTCTCTCCCACTGTGGTCGGTGGGCTGGAGATGTCAGAACAGCGCAGCTGGCTCTACCTGGAAGAGATGGTCAACTCCTTGCTCAGCACAGCCCAGCAGCTGAAGACGCTGTTTGAACAAGCCAAGCAGGCGAGCTCCTGCAGGGAGGCTGCCGTGACCCAGGCAAGAATGCAGGTTGATGCGGAGAGGAAAGAGGTAACAGGAGCTTGGACCTGTAGCTGTACCCATCATCCTGCCCTGGCCCTGGGAGAGCCTGTGATTCCTGCGCTGGCGCATGGAGATCACTGTCCCACTGTCCCTGAGAAGGGAGAGCTGGAAAACAATACAGATGAGAGTGGCAGACACCAATAAAACATTTTGTGTAAGATGGCATGTTTCAGCAGGGAAGACATTTTTATATGTACCAACTATTATTTTTGGGTGTATGGTCTTCATAGATGTTTTTACATTCAAGCCATCTTTGTTTGTTTGTTTGTTTGAAGAAAGGGTTTCTCTGTCTAGCCCTGGCTGACCTGGACTCACTTTTGTAGATCAGGCTGGCCTCAAACTCAGAGATCTACCTGTCTCTGCCTCTCGAGTGCTGGGATCACAGGTGTGTGACACTGTGCCCGGCTTTTTTTTTTTTTTTTTAATATATATTTTTTATTTATTACAATTCAGGCGATCTTTATGTAGTAAAACATGTCTCATATTTGAACTTTGGGAAAGTGTTATTTGGTGTGGGTCTGATACATAAACACACACTTTTCCATTTGTTGTTTCAATGCCCTACCTGCTGTGGGCTGTGGAGGGTGGTATGACCTTGTGACCACTGTGTTCTCCTGTAGCTTCTCCTTTACCAGGGCCTGATGCATCCCTAGCATCAGTTTCCCAAAGACAAATGACTAGTAACATTTTCTGTGTTCTTTGAACTTTTTCTTTTTTTTTTTTTAAACAAGGCAAAATTGAACCACAGTGAAATGCCTCTATCCTATTACAGGGTCACCAGCCACACCGAGGGTGGCCACCCCAGTGGCTCCCAGTGCCACCCCCTGGCATGCCTACCCCTTACACCCATCCTGATAGCTGTTGTCAGGGACCGACCTGTGCAGCTCCACACCAGTGCAGAGGCCTAGCAGTGTGCCCCCTTAGCAGTGTGTCTCGTCTTATCCAACATGACACTTGTGGATTTTGAGGTTCATTTTTCTTCAGTTATTCCAGCAGCAATTTTGGAAAAGACTGTCCTTTTCCCACTCAGAGATCTGCTAAGACCAGCTGATAGCTTGATGTAGGTCAGCGTTTACACTTCATTTAGATCACTCAAAAGCATGTGTGGTTCTCAGAGAGCTGAGGGTTTTCTGTTCTTATGGCAGTTGGCTTCCTTTCAGTATGGCTGTGGAGAATGTTCTTTGTGGGATTTTAGTGGTGTTGTTTAGTTTAGTTTATGTGGATTTTCTGTTTGTTCTGTATTTGATACTGATTCTCTCTGTATAGCTCTGGCTGGCCTGGAACTCACAGAGATCCACCTGCCTCTGCCTCCTGAGTGCTGAGATTAAGGCATACACCACCACACCCACTTTGATATTTTGAGACAGGGTCTCCTGTAGGCCAGGCTAGCCTTGAACTTGCTCTGTTCAACTTACTATGAGGCTGGCCTTAAAAACTTTGAGTACTCCTCCTTCTAACTTCAAGTATTGGGTAGCATAAGCATAAGCTACCATGCCTGGTTTGTTTCTTTGTTTTTGAAGCAGGATCCCTATTTAGCTCAGACTGGCCATCTCCTGATCTTCCTGCCTCGGTCTCGTGTTGGTTTTCACCTTCTTCTGTTTAAATTCATTAGGATTTGTTTCGTGCTGCAGTGTGGGCTCTGTTTCAGTGAGCATTGCTGCATGCTTGAGATTGGCTTACTTCCATTGGTTAGTTCAGTATTCTACAACATCGTTAGGTCACAATAACTTGACACTATTTAAATCTTCAGGCTTTCCTTCAGTCTGAAGAGCACCATGGGAACTGCATACATTTGGTGAACAATCAGATACATACATGCAATTAAAATACTCATACACATAGAATTTTAAAAAGAAAACCGGGCGTGGTAGCGTAGACTTTTGGAGGCAGAGGCAGACAAATCTCTGTGAGCTGGAGGCCAGCCTGGTCTACAAAGTGAGTCCAGTCCAGCCAGTGCTCT